GTAAAGTGTCCTTGAGTGTTTTGAAAGGCGCTTATAAATGTAATGTATTATTATTATTATTATTATTATTATTATTAAAATAGGTGATCTGGAGTAGCCACAGTCACGACAAAGGCTATATTTTATGATGGTGCCTTTAAATGGGCCCCGATTTGATCCAAAAAGGATACAATTCGAGTAATATGGGAAATGGTTGATGGGCTTCGACTAAATCAAGTGTGGTTGAGTCAGTACTGTGAGGTAATGTCACCTTCTTCGGCTCGGGGTGGATCGCGGATTATCTTCAAGTAACACTCGAACTGCGCAGCCAGGATCTGATGACGTGACATTCCTGGTACAGTGGATATGTTGCCAACATTCTCTTGCTGGTCCTGCAAAGGTAACTCATCCGCTGTCATGTACTCCACATCCTCGCATTGTGCAACCTGTAAAATGTAATCAGCAAGATTCATTCCAAGAAGACCCAAACACAATATTTCCAATTACTTCTGAGTCACTTCATAACACAATACGATACAAGAAACATTACTGCAGCATATCACTGAAAATGAATTGTCCTTCATTCAATTAGGCAGTGTTTGGAAACATTAATAGTGCAGATATGAATGGCATCCAGTTCCCAGAAAAAAAAGTTGAAGCCTATTAAGTATCAAAATAATGACATAGCTTGCACAGTGCCATCTTGGCCACTCACGTCATCACTGTCGTCATGCATGCTGCAATATTTTCGTATATAGGGTGTGCCGCATTATAAGGTGCATAGAATAGAAACTACAATAGTGCCTGCGGTTGCGTTATGCATCCACTAGATGGAGCTACGCTCAAGGGAATACAATACAATACAGCTCTATTTGTATGGCGTTTTCACAACCGCTGCAGCTGTAACAAAGCGCTTTACAGAATCTTTAAAATACTATGTGCGCGAAATCAGAATATTGAATGCTTTTAGGTGCGCCTTATAGTGCAGAAAATACGGTACATAAAATCAATTTGTGGAGTGTTCTTACCTCTGAGCCCAACACCAGTGCAAATATCAGTGATAGGGTTTTGCTGCTCCACATGTCACTAAAGAAGAAACAACAAAACACATTAGTCGCCATCATTTGTGGTCGTTGCAATAATGTTTTGTTCATCTATCAACAAAAGAAGTCTTGCTCCAGAAAATGTCAGTGAAACGTGTTTAGCATCGGGCGAAAGGGCAGAGTGTTCTCTAAAGTATTTCTGACTAACACCAGCCAACATTTGAAAGAGCATAATTACCGGTAGTATCGCAGAAAGGTAGGACTTTATAACGATTAGGTGTTTCTGCTGTTGGAAGAGCTTAAAATCCTTAAGGGGGAAAAAAAACAAACAACTTGGTCTTATCTTTGGATGACCTGGCCAGAAAGCTATATTTCATTTTTATGTCGACTGTGTTTAAAGGTGATCGTTTTTACTATTTCCTGTAAAAGCATCTTGGAGAACATCCAAACATCCACCCATTATGCGAACCGCTTACACATAATCGTGCGAAATCCAGGACACAACCTTGACTGTATGTGACCCGAGCACACAGTGGAAGCTGAAAGGTCGAGCACAATCTGTTCCAGGACACTGGTTGACCTCTAGTTTGCTCTAATGTTACTCCCACAGATTGAAATAATATCCCCACTAGTCTAAGCACGGCATTCTGATTAATATTGCATTTGTGAAATTGTGAGAATATGAATTAAGCAGCAAAATCCACCTGTTTTTCATCCATCTCGGGGGGCGGCCATTTTGCCACTTACTGTTGACTGAAAAAGACATGACAGTTGCTCAGCGCTCAGGTAACAATGAATCACTACTCACCTATTGTCTGAGTTTGGTCATGTGACCTTCACAAAGACGAGCTGTGATTGGTCATTACCTGAGCCCTTGAGCAACTGTGATGTCATTTACAGTTAACAGCAAGTGGCAAAATGGCTACCTCCTGAGATGGATAAAAATATATAAAAGTCTAAAAAAAAAAAAAAAAGTTCTGTGATCACATGACAAAAAGCCTCAGAAAAACAATTCCAAAACACACATTTTGGAATTAATCAGAAAATGTTCATGACAAACCTGTGGTGATCTGGCAATCAAGTCTTAATTGATTGCTCCCTGCCCCAGGCTGGTTGGTGGTGGCCAATCAGCTGCACCTGTGTAAACCTCCGCTCCAAATGCCCGAGCTGTCCACTGCAGTTTGCCAATCCGTCGTGGATGAAGGGTGATGGAAACCCCTTCAATCTCAAGCGGTGAACTTCGCTCAAATGTGTTTCAGTTTCTTCCAGCCCTGGGAATAAAAAGACAGGTAGAATCACTACTTCGCCCGTTGCACACCAAAGACTTTCCTGCTCATCTGTAAATTACCTCTAACAGGCTGCCTGACCTGGTGATGTCACTTGGCCTTGTCTATAAGAAAACCTTTATTAGTCTCGCAATGGAGAAATTCCCAATTCACAGCAGCAAAGTTATGAAAGGAAGAAGTAGAACAACAAAATATAGTTGCATCAATAAAAGAGGCTTTTTGCCATTTGGGTCCAAAAACTGTGTCTGAGCATAACAAAACCAAACAGTTCAACCACCTGCAATATGTTTTAATATCTTTCCACATGTGGTTTTTTTTTTGGAGACCACAGTCCCAGAATGACCGCTGCGTATACAGTTTAACTACCTACAACAGACCATCTGGCAAATTAGATACACGTTGACATTGAAATTTCTACTGAAATAAAATATATTTTTCCAGGATATAAAAAATGAAGCAGCATATTGTATTATTTATATTAGAGTGTGGCGGATCCTACATTCTTGGAGTTCGGCACTTGTGGATTCGCTTATTTGCAGATTTTTTTTTTTTCAATTTATGTTTGTCAGCATTTTTGTTTATTTTTGAGTTGAAAAACTTTTGTTTCTCTCTCCAATGAAACTCAATGGATGTCAATGACCGTATTTTAGGGACCATTAGGCGCATCGTATTACTAGGCACAATATCCATGAATGGGTCTATTAAAAAAAAAAAAAATCGTACATACGAAGTACCAGGGATATAAGGTGTTTTATTTTTCTAGCGCACACACTCGACCTGGCACGGTTTTTGTTTAAAAAGAGACCCACTTGTAGACAGATACTAGGTAAATCAAGACCAAAGAATCTCTTGTACATTATATAAACAGCTGTCTAAGGCAATGTATAGTTTCAATTAAGACTCATCATGTCAAACTGGGTTTGCTCCCAAGAAAATAACTCCCCTCTAATGGGAAGACAGACTTTGTTTGGAGCAACACGGCCAGTTGATGTCTTCCAAGAAGTCTTTCAAAGAGTCCCTTATTTGTCCTGTCCCGTTCTGTTTAGACAGCGACTGTCAAATAGAATACGTGATGGTCTTCGGGTAAACACATCACTGAGCAACACAGTTCTCATAACAGAAAACAAAGTCATGTTAAAAAGTTAAGTTCAGCATGCCAGCGTGCAAAATGTCAAACTTTTCACATGGTTACACACTTCACAATGGAAACGCTGGTATGTAGCATGACAAAACGAATGGAACCGTTTCATATCAACAGCGCTTCAGGCACACTACAGTTTCTGGCAGATTCGGTCATAACAAAGTGGAGTAAATCATTTAACTGCATCAATCACCATATACGTTCATCAAAATTTGGGAAAGGGGTTTTATTTTTTTCAGTACACTCAAACGGGGGCTCTTTTTTACCTGTGAGCATTAAGGAGGCTAAGAAAATCCTTCATGGCGTGTACGAGGCCTTGGTCAACAAAGTTGTCACATTTTCTTCGTAACTTATGCTTACAGTTGTAACAAAGTTAAAATGTTACTTAAAAAGGCCGGTACACATTATTGCAGTATTTTCGATGATGTCTCGGTAAAGACTGTTTATATTATCAGTCATTACTTCTTCTTCTTCTTCTTCACCTTTCGGCTCGTCCCAGACCAGGGGTCGCCACAGCGAGTCAGTAATTTCCATCCGTCCCTGTAAACCGTCCCATCAACCCGCATGGTCGTCTTGGCAAAAGTTTTACGCCGGATGCCATTCCTGACGCAACCCTCCCCATCTCTCCGGGCTTGGGACCGGCACTGGGGAACACAGCACCCCCAGGGGAGGGCATCGCTCCCCAGCGGCTGGGTTTTATCAGTCATTACTATGGGGGAAAAAAAAATGTCTTATTGCTCCACGTGGTGTTTTTAATGGTAAACATTGTGTATTTGTTTAAGAAGATATGGACATCCCACATCCTATAACCCTGCTTTAATAGCCCCCACTGCACTCGTGAGGTGGAGGGTCATGACGCAGGATGATGGGAAATCCAAACATTACTGTTTTGCTTTACCAGATTTTGGATTATTGACGGACGCACTGGTTTAAGTGGATATAAAACAAGTTTTGGGACCTCCATAAATCTAGCCATTGCCTGAGGTTTGAATTTTCATCGCTACACCTTCATTTCTTAAAATTTTGAGTTATTTGTATGTTGTCCCACTTTGGAGAATTTCACAATTTCACATTTATGTTCATGTTTTTACAGGGCGGGAGGACTCAATCTTGTTTTTTTCATTGCAACTGCACTTGATTTCAGAAAATCGACACCTTCTCAGGATGAGACTGACAGGGTGTGGATGTAACACCCGAGGCAAAAGAAAGAAAGAAAGAAAGAAAGAAAGAAATAATCCAAAGTGTCTGCGTGAATTTATGGAGAAAAAATATAACATATTAAATAGATCGATTTATGGTTTTATAAATGGATATTGGGCTAGGAAAGAGACAATTGATTCGATTAATGGATTTTTTTAAACCCCAGCCATTGTGAATGGTGCCTGTTATAAAAATGCACAGTGGTACAATGCACACACGCACGCACGCACACACACACACACACACACACACACACACACACACACACACACACACACACACGCGATACACTTTCAAATCCACCTATGTGGAATACATCTCACATAATGCTGCTGTTTTTTTTTCAATTTGATGCCATTTACAATTATTTTCTTAAATTTTTAATTTAGCTTTTATCAATTTTGCAAAGAAGTTCTTTATTTGATTGTTACACAGTACCAGAGAGGTCCTGGCTGGTCCACCAACATTAGGGCCCACTACCCAAACAAGAAGACAGTTTATGTACTGTAATTGTGAAGATTCTGCAACGGAAGAATGAAGGTCATGCAGGACGCGATTATCTCCCACTCCGTCATCCTGCAACCACTTCCTCCTTTGACAACCCCCTTCACTAGGACACACACACACGCACGCACGCACGCACGCACGCACGCACGCACGCACACACACACACACACACACACACGCACACTTCTACAAAGGTCAACAAATAAAAATAAACCATTGTTACAAGTATACAAAGGGTCATGGGAAGGATTTTCATAATGTGGGGAACATTGCTCCATGTAACAAGATGTTCAACTGCCAGCGAGTTGCGAACTAGCGCAAGATCGACACTCCGTGCTACTTCTTGTAAAACAGCACTCAAATGCACGAAACCAGTCACAAAAGATCTAAATCAAAGTCGTTTGTTCACAAAAGTGGCGGAAGGTGCATTCCGGACATGGGCCTTCAGTAGTGACTTACTGCCAGTGACCTGATCCATCCCTTCTTACCAAGAATATCATGTCGCATTTTGACAAAATATACTAAATCACAATATCACATTACATGGCATTACAGAGCGAGACATTTTGTGTCATTAGGATGAATACCATAACTACAAAAGCAACTCCAAACCGCTACACTACAATGTCATTCGGAGCAATTCACAATTAATATTTATCTAATAACAACATGACAAAAACATAAAATCTTTTAATCAAATACATCCTACTCCCCAGAGATGCAGATTATTTATAGATCATAATTATTGATCCTCCTTTCTTTGCACCTGAGAGCCAGTTAGCCAACTGTGCAAGTCAGAACTACGGTAGCTAATTCGCGCTATTTTTTGCTACTCTGGTATGCCCCCAAAAAATATGTTTCACATTGAAACAAGCCACCAGCAACAACGTTGGCCGACATAGACAAAGAATGATGAATCTGAAATCTGATTGGTGAAAAAAAAAAACAGCCATTGCTAAAAGAGTGCATTTGTAATGGGCCGTCACAATTGGAATTCAAAGCCCTGAGCAGATTACAATGACGCGGCATCACAGAGAAGTTGACATGTGAATGGACAAAAATTAAAAATAAAAATCTCACATTCACTCTACTGGCATCCCGGCAGCCAAGAAAATTGCTATGAAATGATGATAACAGACTGTTGGTCAGCGCTTCTCAGAATGTTTAGGCCAGCAGAGAACAACCAGTCTGCTCGATCAAAACAAGGCTACTAAATATGCTTCGACTATAAATGCACAGGGCAGGTCAATTCTCCGCGGTATGGCTCAGATTGGTACCTTCAGATAAGTATCACGTTTTCCCTTACAGGTCTGTTAGTAAGATGGTTAGACCAGAAAAGGATGACATCATAGCAGCTACCTGACATGGCACTTGTCAATGAATCAAACAAAGGAAGTTTGACACAGTTATCAACAAAAGTAGAACTAAGGAAACTGCTTGCTTGTTGACAACCGTCTCACACGTGTACAAAGCTAAACAAATTTTAGTCTAGCTTGAGTTGCTGAATGCAGGTTATGGAGTAGTTCCATATACAGCGTCTCCCATCATGGAAGCTGTACTGAACAAGCTAAACCGAGAGACAAATATGGAAATTCCTGATATGTTTCTGTATATGGTAAAAAAATAAAAATAAAAGCTTCAGAGGATGAATATTCCAGTAAATTGCAGTTAAAAGCAATTTGCCAGACGACTGTGCAACTTCTGCTAAGTGCTGAATCATTTTAGTACTTGCTGGAACAATCCCTCCCCAAAAAGAACTATTTATTCATTTTTATTGGCTTCAAAGCCTTGGAGTTGGACAGTCATCTGTTCAGAATCAGCCTCCAGCATCTGTTTGATCGAAAATAAGTGGCTTCAATGTGAAGAACAAATGTTCCTTCTAATAGAATGATAATTATCCACACAACATGACTTCTTTTGACTTGACCACATTGCCGTGTACAAACCTATTTTGACAGGCCGCATCATGAGGGCAGGCATGAGGGGCAGCGGTGGCTTTGTTGCTGGAGATCCATATTTCAACTTACACTGCAGATAAATGTAAAAATGGCAACTGATTGTTGGAGATATTCTCGTCTGCTTCTTGGCTACTGTTTAGGTGCTCTTGAGCGGGCTACTGCCCCCACATGCCCAGCTC